GGAAAATGGTGAAAAGTATGGTGAACATGAGTAAAAATTTCTTCCACTAAGAGTGAGTCCTAATCAAACTATGGATTCTGGGAGACAGTGATATGTATATATATCGATGTAGTATCCTCAACTGCAAGGCATGTACCATCTGGTAGGGGATGTTGATAGTCAGGGAGGCTCCATGGGGTGGGTCAGGGACACATTAGAAACCCCATAGCACTCTGTTCCACTCAGTTCCACCATGAACCTAAAACTGTTCTGAAATAGGTTATGAAATATTAAGTCTTTTATTTTTTTCCAGTACTGAGATAGAGCCGAGGGATGCCTGCTAGGCAAGCACTCTCCCACTGGCAGGGGGTAGTGGGTACCAGAAGTTGAACCTAGTGGTTGTTAACCAGTGAGCCACATCCCCAGCCTTTTTTATTTTCTATTTTGAGACAGGATCTTGCTAAGTTGCTGAGGCTGGTTTTGACCTTGTAGTCCTCCTGCCTTAGCCTCTGGGATTCCCAGCCCTACTTTTTAATAATAATAATAATTTTAAAAAATCTTGCTGGGTACAGGGGTACATTCCTGTAATCCCAGAGACTCGGGAGTCTCAGACAGTAGTAATACAAGTTTGAGGTCAGCCTGGGCAACTTAACAAGACCCTGTCTCTAAATAAGAAATAAAAAGGGCTGGGGATGTAGCTTAGTGTTAATGTGCCCCTGGGTTCGATCCCCAGTAGAAGAGGAGTCCTTTTGCTATACGATAGACCAGGTTTTGGCAAAAACTTGTAAGAAATTGTAAATTACAGAGACTAGCAAGAGTTGTCTCAGAGTCTGAGGGCAGGCTGGGGACCTGGATCCCAAATGTGAGCATACAAAGGTCTGGCAAGGAGAGATTAGACACTGGGCATCGGGAAGTTGAAATGGGAAGTGTTACCTTCCTCTGATATGTTCGTGGCCTGGGTTCCCTGGGGAAGATGCAGGGAACCAAGGTGGCTATCTATCTGCCCCAGGTAAGTCCGGGAGGCGGGACCTGGGATCACACCATGGGTCTGAGGCAGGGAGTGGATCCCTCCCACCCTCACTCACAGCGATCACGATGTCCCGCATGTGAGGAAACTCCTCTGGGTGTAGGAAGGCTGTCAGCTCCTCGCGAGTGGCCATGGAGTCCCCATCCTGGTCAGCCACCCGGAAACGTCGCTCATCCCGAGCCAGCATCTTCTTATAGGTCTCCGCATCCTCTACATCATGAAATTCTTCCCCTGGACAAGGACAGAGCTCTATGAGAGACAGCTTAGGAAGAGACAAAGGAGACCCAACTCAGGGGACGAGAAGACTTCCATGGGAGTCAAAAGAATTAATATATGTCAATAATGTATATATATTTACATATATTGTATATAAAATTATTATATACATTTATAATATACTCTATATATTAGCTAAGTGAAAGCTTATTTATTTTATGTTAAACTCTTTACCTACAGTATTACATTTAATCCTCCAAAAAGCAAATAAAGTGGGTTCTTCCATTTATTCTCACTTCCTGAATGAGAAAATTGAGTCCCAAAGAAAGGAATAACTTGCCCCAAGGGCCTGCAAGCAGGAACAGTGGACTTTGAGTTGACACTCAGCCATTTGGCCCCAAAGTCCTGCTCTGATGTGATATGTTGTACTAACTTAGGTTCCTTGACAGAGGAGGAAAATGGGCATTTCAGAGGGAACGGTATGTGCAGAGTGTAGAGGTCTGAGTGTTGGTGAGGTGGAGGAAAACACACATGATCCATTGGGGCAGAAAAATGCAAAAAAAAAAAAATAGGGCTGGGGATATAGCTAACATGCACAATAATCCCCAGCACCACACACACACACAAAAAGTTTTTAAAAATAAAAAACAAAGCTGGGGCCAGCGGGGTGGCGCAGGCTTATAACCTCAGCAGCTCAAGAGGCTGAGGCAGAAGGATCCAGAGTTCAAAGCCAGCCTCAGCAAAAGTGAGGCGCTAAGCAACT